CCTCAGCGCCAGTCGGAACTCTCCGGCCCGACTCGGGTCCATGCTGAGCTGCAGCCGCAGAGCCTCGCTACCGGTACCGGGGAGGCACAGGGGCCGGATCCCGGAATGACACACCGACACCCGGACTGACATTAACACAGTGCTGCAGCAGGGAGTAAACGCTGTCCCGCTGCCGCCACATGCAGCCTGCTGAGACGAGGCAGGCACCGGGGCTGGAGGAGCCCAGCCGCCTGAGCTGAGAGCCATGTCGCGGACACTTCAAGGCGGAGTGACGGTGTTGAAGCCCCGCGGCAGGTGCTACTGCGGCCCGCTGCTTCTGTGCGGTTTACAAGGTCCACCGGTGTCTGGAGACAGCGCGTTTCTTCACGGGGAAACTGTGGTTGACTTCTCGCCCCGCGAATTCCATTTCTACCCGACCCATGCAGAGGGGTAGAAAGAAAAACAAAACAGGAAGTAGAAAGGTACGTCTTTTATTTATGTCCGTGGAGAACCGTGTCTATGGAACAACCGATCACAATGAACCTCTTGAATGAATGAAATTCATACAAAAGCTAAAAGTGGTAGAAAATATTATATATATATTTATATCAATTTAATAATGTTTTTAACAGCAGATAAAGTGAAAGAAAGTGGTGTAAAAATGGTTTACTCCACTACATTTAATAAAACAAACTAATTGATTGTATGCTTATTCTAGTTGTGTAAAGTAACAAAGTACATTAACTCAAGTACTGTACTTTAATACAATTTTGAGAAACTTGCTCTTTTCTTGAGTATTTCAATTGTTTGCTACTTTGTACTTCTACTCCACTACAACTCAGAGGTAAATAGTGTACTTTTACTCCACTACATTTATTGAATACCTTTAGTTACTTTGCAGATTTTTATTAATAATGTGAAATATTTTCAACGCTTGAATAAGAGTTTAGTTACACCTGGAGTAAATCTAACATGCAGTATACAAAGTAACTAGCTGCACCTTTACCAGCTTTGATAAACACATTAATGCATCAATAATTATAATCAAAACATATAATATATCATTCTGAAATTGGCACATTTTCATAATGAGTACATATTTAGATTATTATACATTTTTACTTTTACTTGAGTCACATTTTGAATGAAGGATGTTTACTTTTAACAGAATTTTTCTACACAGTAAAAGTAATACTTCTACTTTTTACTCAAGTAAAAGACCTGAGTACTTTCCCCACCTCTAGCTTATTCAGATGTAAAATATTTATTTAAAACAATATATAAACATTTGGTAGAAAACTGAATGAAAGTATTCTTAATTTATTATTAAAATGAATGTCCTAATATTAATCTATTACTATGATACCCATCTTTTTACCAGTGGCACTGCCAATCGTTTAGTGAAGTTAAACATTACTTACTCAGTAATCTTCTCAAATAAATCTGACATTCATACTACAAAATGTACTGATAAAAACCTTTGAGCATGTATTGCAGTTGTTGAGCATAATTTAAAAAAAGCCTGAGAGTATTTGTAGGTGTCAAATCCGTGCCTGGAAGTTAATATTTAAGACAGAGGAAAATGATTACACAGAAGCTTGTCTCTAAACTGCACTGACTGTGAATAAATACCAAATATCCCAATGTATTTAACTAGAGATCATGTATAATAGGGAATGATTTATTTCTTCCCTATTCAAGCAACACATCGTTTTTAGATAGGAATAGAGGGTGGCCTTTAGGACTACATGTGTGTAGTTACCTGTATTGCTCCTCCTCTGATATCATTGCCCAAGCACTAAAACCTGCAGGAGATCAGTCCAAATTTGAAGAACATGGAGAACTTAGGTTCTACAGTCCTCGCCAGTCGAGCAAACCAGATCAAGGAAGAGCTCAGACAGGTAAAGAAAGGGGTTATTGACATATTTGCAAAATGGTTTCTGTCAGCCACGTTTCCATCCTGTTGTTTTGCTTTAAATTCACTGTCTGCAGAAATTGAGAAAGCCATACAAGCAAGTGATAGATCTGTCCTGGGGAGACCCGCACGCTGCAGGTGTGAAGCCTCTGTCCTTTGTCCGGCAGGTAATCTGTAACCTTCAAAGTCCATCTTTAGACTGGAATTAATATGCAAGCTCATACATCTTCTTCTGAATACAAATGCATGTCACTCTAATCTACTGTGTGTCTTCTCATTTGCAGGTTCTCGCAGCATGTCTTTACCCTGATCTTGTGAACAGCAACACGCTTCCAGTGGACGTCAGACAGAGGGCTCAGAGGTTGCTTGGAGAATGTGCCGGAGGGAGTGTAGGTAAGATATGTGCATGTGGAACTATTAAAATGAAATGTTATGGAGTTATTGGATATCTGTCTTCAAGATTTCTGGACCATTTAACCCATTCAAATAATGTTTTTACCATTACTTTTTCTTTTGCATACAAGCTTAGTTATTTTATGGAATACATTACATAAAGCAAACGGAAATCCGGATACCTCATTTTGCAACTAGGGCAGAGATGTGTGTACTATGCAGATATATAGATATATACTTCATTTATCCAAAATTGGGATTTGATTTTGTTCCAGCAGCAGTGTCAAGCATTTCATGAGTTAAAAATGTTTAAGATACATAATAAGATACAAATGTAAAAAATAATAATAATAACATTAGTGGCAAGTATATATATAATAAGAATATAAATAAAAAATTCAAAATGCATAATATAAGAGTAGGTAATAAGATATACAACATGATTAAAAATATACTGAAGTATATTTATTTTGTATACACATACATGTGCTTAGCCTTGATGCATGTTTTAAGCCCTATATTAACAAAACTGTGTAATTTGTATTATACAAATACAAATTAATATAATGATGTAGCATAAAACAATGTTCTAAAATAAATAAAATGAAAATACAACTATTTTAACTTATAGCATTATTGCGTTTCCTAAGCTTTCCTGGTTATTCCTTCAGGTTCTTATACTGCTACAGCTGGCATACCAGAAATAGTCCACAGAATCTCTGAATTCATAACCAAACGAGATGGCGGGGCTCCATCAGACCCTGAAAACATCTACATCAGCCCCGGCTCTCAGTGGGCTCTCAGGGTAATAATCACTATTACTGAAATACTGCCATACTGTGTCTGTTCCTCCTGCGGATTATCATCATCTTTGAGTTCAATTAATCTGTTCCTGTGTTTATTAGAACATTCTCAAGGTCTTGGTGAACAGCCAGGCTTCCCCCGGAACAGGTGTGCTGACTCCAGGGCCGTGCTACCCCCTCACCAATTTTACAATAAAAGAGTTGGGAGGAGTTACTGTCCCGTACTGCCTCAGCGAGGAGCAGGGCTGGGAGCTGCAGGTAGAGGAGCTGCATCGAGCGCTGGACTCTGCAAAGGGAGTCTGCAACCCTGTCGCTCTGTATGTCATCAACCCTGGAAATCCCGCAGGTAGTCAAATCCAAACAGAATTGACATCATCTAAGTATATCTTTTGAATCCTAGAATATGGTATCATGCCATGCCGTGTTTCCTGTAGGTTATGTTCAAAGCAGAAAGACAATGCAAGAGGTGATCCGGTTTGCTTCAGAGAAGAGGCTCTTCCTTCTGGCTGATGAGGTCTTAAAGCATTGTCATCTATCCAGAGAATTCATCAAGAGTGACATAAATGTGTAAATAAATGCTTTCTGTGATTTCCTCCACAGGTCTATCAGGAATGTGTTCATGGGGAAAACAGTGAGTTTCTCTCTTACAAGAGAGTTCTGTCTGAGATGGGTCCTCCTCTCTCAGACACGGTGGAGCTGGCATCCTTCCACTCAGCATCCAAAGGATTCATGGGAGAGTACGTTCTCTGTCTGCCTTCTACTTCCCGAACAATAGCAACTTTTGACTTTTTAAGATAGCAAACTTGAACATACAACAGGATAAATTAGTTATTCGAGTCAACTGATGTTTTGTTGTGCTATTGTTTAAGGTAGCCTACATTTTAGGCTCAGTGGGCCAAACCTTTCTCTGTTTTTGGATTCTTTATTCTCGAGTCAGGCTTGCGAGAAAAGCAGATGTTTCTTCAAGAAACCAACTTAGCACTGGCTAATTAATTGAAATACAAATGGTTGTTTACAGGGTCAAGTATTTCTCAAGGAAAGAAAGATAACCATGATCTTGGAAACATGAAATAAAATGTCACTCAAGATAAGAAGTCCTAAAAGTGCTCAGAACAATACAATTGAATATCTATGAGTTTCTATAACAGCTGGGCAAACATATGAAGATCAAGCTCGATAACAAGCTACTCAGGGACTCTTCATTTCTCTCTCTCCCCCAGGTGTGGTCTGCGTGGTGGATATGTGGAGCTGGTAAATCTGGACCCTGATGTTATGAAATGCATCTACAAGCTGTTCTCCACAGACACCTGTGCTCCTGTGTTGAGCCAGATTGCCCTGGATCTGATGACCAGCCCTCCACAACCAGGAGACCCATCGTACCCACTTTATATTGAGGTGAGGTCAGAGATAAGCATTTCAGATTTCTATTTTGCAAGGTGCCTAATATCCTGGTTTTCTCAAGACGTTTTAAAATAGGAAACCTCAAGCCCTCTGTATTTTTGTGTTCTTGCCTTTAACTTCTGCAGGAGACACAACACATCAAGACTATGATGGTTCATAATGTAAAGAGAGTCTTTGAGGTATTGAACAGCCTGCCGGGTTTCTCCTGCCAGCCGGTGGAAGGAGGTGCCTTCGCATTCCCCAGACTGTATCTTCCACCTAAAGCCATTCAGAAAGCCAAGGTTATATATCTCATAGAACCAAGTACACACTGCAAAATCACAGAAATATCACCAACAATAAATAAAAGTGTCATGTGGTAATTAATCATTTAAATATGTCTTTGCTTATTTTAGGAAATGGAAATGGAACCAGATTTGTTCTACTGTATGAGACTCCTGGAGGAAGCTGGTGTGTTAGTCAAACCTGGCATGGAGAACAGACCAAAGGAGGGCACCCACCACATCAGGTAACATATTTAACTGCCTTTACTAAGCATTTCATTTCAACATTTATAACGCTTTATACTTCAATGCCAAAGGGATCACAGAGTTCATGCTGGTCATCTGTTGAAGGACATGAGGCAACTATTTGTTATACAAAAATATTGTTGCAAAGCTAGGTACTTATTTGCAGCCCATCCTAACATTAACCCAGTAGCTCAGCTCACCTTTCTACAGCAATGTCCTGCTTCACTCTTTGTTGCACATTCACAGCAGTCCAGGGAGATGGGCTTCTATTTCCCCACTCTCGTAGGCCTACCATTGGACACTGTTGGTCTGATGTTGTGCGGTTTTAATTACACTTTACTTGTAGCAAGCATACACTGCTCAAAAGTCCTCGTAATTATGTTTTAGTATCATACAACTGCTTATAACTCTTAACAGTCACTTTACTTTAAGCTCACAAAGTCCTGTTATAGCATGTAAATTATGTTTCTAAGACATTTCAGAAACGTATAATTTATAATCTGTTATGATAGATCTGTTCTTCATAATGTGAATGGCTTGAATACGTTGTGTTGGAATTTGATAATTTGTTCATACAATGTCACTTTGGCATGGTATTATAAACCCATGATCAGGTCCTATGAAGGTGCTTGTTCTGCATTACAGACATGACCATCATTGAAAGTATATTTCAGACATGTTTATTCAGGATTAGTGGACTTTTTACCTTTAACTCTTTCTTTGTGCAGATTCTGTATTCTGAACCCCGAGGACACCATGGAAGAAATACTGAGCCGCCTGAGCAGCTTTCACACACAGTTTATGAAAGACTTTTCTTGAATGAAAGCACTCAGAAAAAAGCCAGGAATTATTATTGTTTATTTTGTTATCTATGATCAGTTAAATAATGAAGCTGAAACAATAAAAACAGTCTGATAATTTACCTCATGTTGGCATGTGAGCATTTTTTTGCAATAAATATGACATTTATTATTGCATGCAGTCCGTTTGAGTGACCTTTGGTCTAGGTCAAATTCAACTTCTGTTTTCCAGAAAAAACTAGTATACATAAATGACCGAACACAGTCCAAAATCCAAACCAATGGATTCCTTCACATCACATGGAAGTTCATCATTTACCTCAACAATACCAGCAGCACACTTCAGATAACTGTGGGGCTCTGCTCATATATACAAATATTGACTTTCTTTTAATAAAAAAACATTACCATGAGACCGCCATCCTCTTTGCTTCCTCTGTACCAACCAGCATATTATCCACACTCCAATGAAAGTCCTGGATGTCATTAATCAACCTCACTGTCGCTGTGGTCGGTCTGAGCTAAAGGGTTTGACTCTGTGTTGTTGAGCAGCTGTACCAGTAAGGAGATGAGCTTTCCGTCTTGAGAAGAGTTGATGATTGCGTTACTGGGGTTGCTGAGGTTGCGGTACATCATGCTCTGAATGGAGGTGCGTAGCTGCCACAGCAGCTCCCAGGTGTCAACCGGCAACTCACAGCGCACCAGAGAGCGTCCAGGAAATGAGACCTCCACTCTGTCTCCGTTCACTGGGACAGGAGGGAAAGGACAGGGTTATTTATGAACAGGAGAAATGACTGCCTGTGAATCTAAGAAGGTGATCATATGTTATTGCTTCTGATGAGCATATCTACATAGCAGTTTGTAGTTATTGTATTGAGCCAGAGCTTTTTAATGCACAATCCAAAATAAAAACATTGTGTGTTAAAAACATGGCAAATATGTCTATGGAGTGGAAGACATAAGTTAAATAAGTAAGTCTATTAACAGATATTAGAAAACAAGGGCTATCAAGATCTTGAAAAAAAATGTATCAGTTAAAAAAAGGACGTCACTATTTATATGTTAAACCTTGACTAACAAATGTTTTGTTTATCACTGGAAGAAGCGGAAACAAGTTGTAAACACACTGACATTATCACCTTTATAGTTGATGCTACGAACTTGATAAGAAACAGTTGGCCATTTCCACATTTAGCAGTTACAGAGCAACATTAGCATTCACTTGGATTTGAACTTGCTAATATGAACTCAATATGAGATTAAATAATGTGATGACATTAAATCCCTATTCATTATGATTATCAGGGTTTTTTGCCCTAAAATCATTTCCCCAACCACCTAAAAGCACAGTGCCTCTTTCTGGAGGGCAGTGCACGTCCTACCTGTTTCTGTGATATCGCAGTCTGTGAGCAGCAGCAAGGCGAGAGGGTGGACCGTAGAAGAGTCTCTGATGAAAACAGTCCCGTTTGACTGCATAGCGCTGAAGAAGGTCAACCAGCGACTAGGGAGCTTGTCTTTCCCTCTGCAACAAAAAAAACCAGCCAACATTTTTACATATGCAATACAAGAGTAAAAACTTGGTGTCGTTGAATTTTGGAGTTTGTTCAAACCTGTTCACTGAGGAGCGGTGAAGATGGACCGGCCCACTTTGAGTGCGGTAGGCAATATTGTTGGGGCGAAAGCGGCCTCCTTTGTCCACAACACCTTTCTTCACCTGAGAAAAGGGTAGGAGTTGTAATTTGTGGAAGACATTCTTAAGAGAAACTTATCAATTATTTATGGTCAAAATGTGTCTTTTGTTGCATTTAATAAAGTAATAAAGAAAGCCATTATACAAGTGGAATCGATTTAAAATGCAGAAACAGAGCAACTTCATCCTCAGAGGAAAAAGAAGTTTTGCACCCCGAACACAGCTGACAGTCACACTATATATTCATGAAAGGAAACAGCCAACTGGTCCTACACCCCATCATTAAACCCCCTTGTCCTTAACCATTTGCACATCCACCTTTTACACTTCCTTTTGCCCTCCTGAAATGTAAATCCTTAACATATGTCTCTGTTCAACACACACAAGACTAAAAATACAATTTAACAGAGTAAAAGGCAATCAGAGTTTAAGACTATATGTTTCAAATCGTTATATGATCATTTGACACGACATAAGTGAGCTTTCGAGAGACATCAAACTCAAAAACTGGATCTTACTTTATTAAGATAATGATATTGGCACTTTAGAAACGTCACCACTAGAACAGAACCTCTTCCTCTACAGTAAGATCTCAATCTCACAATTCTGGCTTTAGCCTTTGATGGAGAAGAGCAGGTAAATAATAAGTATAATAGACTCCTTTGTTGTACCTGAATGAGGTTGGGATAGAGTCCAGCCAGCAGCACAGCTTTAAGCAGCTCGTCCTGGTGGCTGTGCTGGTTGTAGAGCGAAGTGTTGCGCTGGCAGTCCTGTGCACGAGTCACCAGCTGGGCTTCATGCAGGTTCTCACCGAACTGCATGATGAGACCTGCAGAGTGACATCACAACAACAGAATGATTTGATGTAAAAGAAACGGTCAATTCAAATGTGAACAATTTGTGTGTGCTTGTACGAACCATTGATGAATCGAAGACTGAACTTGGACAAAACGTGTCTGTCCAGATAGTCATCCCGGTCCTCTCTGTCCCCCTCATGCTGAACCCTCCTCCAGCCCAACACAGCTCTGATTAACACCAGATAGTCGCTGAAGCTGGAGTTGCTCAGATTCTCTTTCACCTGGACAAACACAACACGAATGTTAACTAATTACTACCTGACTTTACATGGTGTTGTTTTTTAAATTCCTGTATAATATCGTAAAACCTTGTGGATGATGATGTGGGTTTTACCTTGAAAATAAGACCTCTGTTCTGCATGCTGTTGTAAAAAGGGTCTCTGGTCAGGCAGGCGGCCACAGACAGCATTGGGAGGACACATCTGAACATGGCACTCAGGACCAGCACTTTGCCCAGACGAGGGTCACATGACATGCAGGACACACGCTCCCCTAAAGGAGTCAGGGTTTCATTCTTGTCCAGAACTCCTACAAAAGAAAAAAGATTGACAGAAGAGATATTAAGCTCAGTTCAAGGTTCTTACTTGTGTTGTAGGTTTCTACTAGAACAGGTTTATATGCTGTCAAAAACACATTTTATTCCCCCCTCAGGCTGTCTGTTTGAATATACCTGTAGTGAAAAAGTAAATCTCAAGCTGTGGACAGAGATACTCAGTCGCAACAGTAAATTCTAATCAGCCTGTCAATATGAATGGATGGTTGCCATGTTTCTGACCTCTAAACAAGGGTAGTGTTATTTAACAGTTTTTGGGTTGTTGCCATCCAGATAAGTGTGTGCACAGGCACTGAAGTGTTTTTGCATGATTTAATTTAATGCGATTCATGATACGATAAACAGGTTTCATACAAACCAGTTTAACACACAAGAAACGTCGCTCATATCTGACCACACAATCCAGAATATCACTCACCAATGTCTTGTAGATTACGGACAGCATCTCTCACAGCTGACTGCTCTGGACTGTCCAATACTTGGGATAAGAAGTCTACAGCCTGCACACAAACCGAATTACATTATTTAGATGGCAGAAAAACACAAAAAAGTGACGATTCAAAAATAAAAATACACCAAAGCCTTTTGTTCCCTTTAAATACCTTGCAGTCAGGACTGTGGATTTTAGCTTGAAGAACTAAATTCTCCAGTGGGGTGCGCAGGATCTCCGGGACGGGGAAGGGCATCATGGTTTCCAGCTGTTGTCGTGGGAACAGATGGTAAGCCTGTCCTGGTTGACATCGCCCTGCTCTCCCCTTCCTCTGAGTCACGTTAGAATGAGAAATCCAAACTGTGTCCAGACAGGAGACCTGGAAAACCAAAAGGAATCATACTCAAGACAGGACAACTAATCACAAGGTTTGTTTTTGTAGATCTGAAAGAGCACATAGTCAAACTGAAACGGTGATGCTAACCTTAGTCTTTGGGTCGTAGTTCTGTTCTTTGTGAGTTCCTGTATCCACCACATGGACGATGTCATCGATGGTGATGGAGGTCTCAGCGATGTTAGTGGTGAGGACGATCTTCCTCTGACCCTCTGGGGGGCGCCGGAACACCGCCTGCTGTTCTGATACTGATAAACTAGAGTGCACTAAAAGAAAAAGGGAAAATACAATTATAAATCTTCTCTATACTTGGAGGACAAAGGTCGCTCTTTGTATACTTACATGGAAAGATCATCTGTGAGCCGGAGGAGAAGTGGCGCTTCTGCTCCAGTTTCTCTTGAACGGCCTTGATGTCCTGCCATCCGGGGAGGAAACACAACACTGCACCTGAAGCATGAGAGGGAAGATTTTTTTGACAAAAATAATGAAGATCCATCTCCTTAAACTTTGTAAAAGCATAATTTAAAAAAGCTACATTTGACAGTTTGTCAGATAGTTACCTGGGTCTCCATGTTTGTCAATGTGCTCGATGACATCCGCTATTAAATCTACATTTGGTGCGACATCGTCTTTTCCTCCCTTAAACAAGATGAAATATAACATCATGAGACACAAGGGAAAATAAACCCTGAGCATACTGAAGTAGGAACACATAAGACTCCAGTCTCACCTGCTTGTCTTTGTCCCCTCTCCTTTCGACTGGCGGTACGAATCCCATCTCTGTTATCACATCCTCCAGGTATCTGTCCTTCACTGGGTGCATGAAACCGGGGACTTTAACTATCGGGCAGCCCCCAAAGTACTCGGACAGCCTCTGCTTGTCCCCAGTAGCGCTCATAAGCACCACCCGCAGGTCAGGGTTCACCTCTAAGGTGGAGCGCAGCAGAGCCAGCAGCAGGTCTGTGTTGATGTCCCTCTCGTGGACCTCGTCCACCACCACGTGGCTGATTCCCTTCAGAGACGAGTTGGACTGCAGCTTCCTCAGCAGGACGCCCACTGTGAGGAAGAGTAAAGCTCCTCCGCTCTGCTCTGGAGGCCGGCTCTCAAGTCTCACCTACGCATAGAAAGTAATTACTTACTTTTTCTACCGGGAAACACTATCCGATAATGTGAATAACCATTACAAATATGAGACAACAAAAAGGAAGGAACAAGCTCTACAGTAACTTAATCAAATGTATATTGCCCGTCTTAAAAGCCAGGAGTCTACGGAAGTCATATTTAGAACAAAAGCTATCTTCTTGGTGTATTCATTTAATTTGTATCAAATTAGCTTTCGAACAATTTAAATAAATACGTATATGTGTGCTTGCCTATTCATCACAATACCAATGCAAATAAAAATAAAACGTCTCCATTACTCAGAGAATACTAGACGTGAAGATTTGAAACACTTTCAGTATGATTACCTTAGATGACATCTATAAATGTATAGATCTATTTTGTGTCAAACAATTTGTTCTGAATTGGAATAAATACAATTTATATATTTGTAAGTGCCCATAATTGAAAAAAAAAAAAATCAGCCTTGCTATTTTTGACCAAATGGTAAACAGTATTGCTATTTTTATATTTTGGCCTATTTTCAAAAACAATCATTATTAATTCAAGCGGAAAAGGTCATAGTTAAAGACAACCAAGTCAATTAATAGTAGAAAATGTACCATTCATTTTATGAAATAGTTTAGACATTTGTCAGTCTGCTTTCCCAGTACAGAAAAGAAGGCCTACAGAGTTCATGTTCTAAATACAGTACTCTATAAACGTGTATCTACCTGGTATCCCACAGAGCTTTGTAGAGCTGGACCCATCTCCTGAGCGACACGATGGGCCACGGACACAGCGCTGATTCTGCGAGGCTGGGTCACGATGATGTTGCAGTTGGCCCCCTCGCCAGCCCTAACACATTCCTCCAGCAGGAAGCGGGGGATCCGTGTTGTTTTCCCACATCCTGTTTCTCCATCAATCACAACGACCCTGGACGACTGCACCGCTGAGATCACCTTCTCACGGTGGGCATCGACCGGGAGCTCCACACTCAGCCCAGAGTTCACCTTCTCCCAGTCTCTCTGCAGGCGGGCGTTGAGCAGCCTGACCTTATCTTCAGACAGAGGTCTGTACGGCTTGCCTGTGATAGCGTCCGTCAAGTACTCCTCCCCTTCCTCCTCCTCCTCATGGCTCAGCGCCTGCTCTCCTCCAGCCTCTTCCTCCTCCCAAATCTTCTGCACATCTGATTCCACTGGGTACTGTGAAAACATTAGCCATTAGTACACCTCAGTGTTTCCCCTAAAATTGTCTGGGGGGGGCGCTGCGCCACCCCAACAGAACCCTGCGCCCCCCCTGAATATATATATATCAGTTTAGAAACTGAAATGATCTATCTACGGTCTCTTTTCACATTGAACATGTGCTCTTTCATTAAATAAACTAAACGCTTATGTTATTGATCCAATGTATGTGCATGTTTCAGTGCCCACTGCACTGCTTTGCGCATTCACATTCTGTCCTCCGCTCTGTTTCCGACATACACATACGAATGCACACACTCACAATCAGAGACTAGAGCGGAGGAAAGGAGGAGAATAACAAAGTGTAAAAAAGTCAAACAAATCTGCATTATAGCCCCGAGCTCTGCTGCTGGTCATGTAAGTCCTGGGCGTAATTTCCACATGTCCCCCCCACTGTTCAAAATCCCGTTTGTTTCCCCCCAATTTCAAATTCAATTATTATTATTTTACCTCAAGCCATCATCGTCACGGAGGAGCACACAGCCTCTGTGTGTGTGTGGCACGAGCACATGTTGTGTGAACAAGCGATTGTTGTTATTAGCATCTGGTGCTAGCTCAGAGCTAACGGATATTAGAAGCTGTTTCTACAACAAGCTGGAGGGAGAGCTCTCTCCTGTCAGACTGAGAGGCTGGTAACTACAGCTCAGGTGAGGTAAAGGACTCTCTGAGTGATAGGATAGTTCACTTTAGTTATCTCAGTGAGTCTCAAATTGTTTGGTCATGTAAACAAATATGTCCAATGCACACCTTCATCTATTTAATATAGTTGTAAAAAATAAAGTAATAAATCATTCCAATGTTAACTATAGGACAGTAAAAAAAGAAAATACAGTTTAAAAGGGGAGTGATTAGTAAAATATGCATAAATAAAAAGAAAGAATGCTAACTAGGTAACATAAGATAAGAATAAACAAGTTTAAATGATTTGTTATTGGTTGTGATCATATTCTAAATATGTTTGGATTATTGAAAAGTATACAGTTCTGTTTCATGAGTGTTGAGAGCTGTACCCATAAATCTCTTCATCTTGTGTTCAAAGTGCACCAGATTGATGCATTTAACTTAAACATAAAAAAAAAAAGATCCCGGGGGAGCATGCCTAGAGTATGTGAGGTCCACTCACAAATAAAGCAGGTTCACATGGATAGGATAATAGATAAGTTTGCCAGGCATTATACACTACACATTTTCTTTGATTGCACCATAGTCCTAACACATATTTTGTTAGAAAGGCAGGAAAAGGGATTCAAATCGAGAACTATTTCCATTGCGGAGGGCCCACACCCCACAGACCCTCTGTTTTGTGTCCCCCCCCACTTCTCAGACCAAAGTAACCCCCTCCCCCCCTCTGCTTTTAGCTCATGGATCTGTTACTTAAAATGTTTCTCACCCGATACCTGAAGCAACAGATACCCACCAATGCATCCCACTTGATAAATGTAATCGTTACATTTCTACAAAGACCAAAAGATGATGATAAGAACATCTCTAAGTTTGTTATCACATGAGGTGAAGACCGACCTCTGCAAAGTACCCTCTCAAGTGCTCCTCCAGGTATTGGGGGACTTCGATGGGGTGGGGGCGTCTCTCCCGCTCTCCAGCCTCCTTCACCTTCTCTCGATTGTACTTGGCGTGAGTCAGAGGGTTGTTGTTTTTGTCCAGTAGCTCCAGCTCCTGGACCAGGCGACATGATGCAGGGTTTAGCACAGCTCTAAACATTGAGGTTAAAGGTACAGTAGGTTTGACAAAATGATCTTTACCTTCAGTTTCATGCAGGCGAGCGCTGCAGCCATCTTCTCTGCTTTCACTCGGCTGTTCGCTGCGGCGGAGAACTTCATCTCCTCTGGCCAGTGCAGCGTCAGGACACACTTCTTAAGCTTCCCTGATGTTGTTATGAACTGCATATTCTCCTGTAAAAATGGAGAACCCCAGGCAGTTAATAACACATGATGATGTTATCGTTGCTTAGTTATAATTGTGCAGTCATGGCAGTTGATAACATGGTACAAACCTTGATTCTGTTGGATGACGTGGCCAACTGGATGACCCTGGCGAGGAGAGTTTTAGGTTGTGGAAAGATGGAAAGAGCTTCAGAGATGTTGGAAGGCTCTTCTTTGGGAGGCCATTGATGTTGTGCAAACGCTTTAGTTGTAGGCATAAATACATCATTTTTCCATGAATTGTCCTCGTCATTATGTAGTTGGGATTGTAAACGTCCTCCCCTGCCCGATCTCCTCGCAGGGAGCTGGTTATTTGGACCAATGACACCCATTTCCTGCACACACACACAAAATAAGTAAAAAGTAAGTGATGAAATGTTACTACAGATTGCAAGACAAAATGATGTCTACTTGATACAGTCTGAGGTCAATGCAGCTTACTCTGAGTTTGAAACAAACAGCCGCTGCAGCAAATCGTTCAGCATCGACTTTCTTGGATGCAAAACCTTCCTCTTCAATCCTGCAGGGCCACAGCAGTGTAACGGTGGCTTTCTGCAGAAACACAGTTACAATACAAAGATTAATTTCAGAGTCATTAGCCCTCAATGGACATGATGTGTTCAGAAGCCCCCCTCCATCCCATTAGGAATTGTGATCTGACCTTGACCCCTTCACTCTCCGTGCAGCTATACTGGATGTACTGGGCCAGGTCGTTGACTCCCAGTGACCGGCTGATGGTGTTGTTCAGGAGACTTTTAGGATCTGGAAACTCCTTCAAGAGGCTCGGACTCACGTCATCTAAAGAGTTAAAAAAAACGAAGGTCAAACACATAGCAAGGTCAAAGAAAGCTGTTTTCCATTCTTAACTCAGGTAAACATGAAGGAAAGACCACGAACACAAGCATTAATGTTTCTGTTAACATGATGGATGCCCTTGAGGTTAAACACTGCTGCTGCTGCTGTCACCGGTTATCCAATGATGCTAACTGCTAACTCTTCCCTCACCTTTACTCTCTGCAGAGGATGACCCGTCGTCCTTAAACCCTCGGGCTGTTGTGCTGTACCACCGCAGCTCTCTGCCCAAGTTGGACGGCGTTGTACCTCTTGTTTGAAAACATTTTGTAACATTACAGAGAGCTCTAAGCCGCATGAGTACGCTACAGGGCACCGCCATCTTTGAAACTTTGCCTTCTGCGGCAGCGCCGTATCTGCGTAGAGCAGCGAAGAGAACACCAGAGATGGCGAGATCCACAGCGACCCCCACTGACGAGGAGGGTTACCTTCTCAAACTGTTGTAAAGATGCAATATGATATTCTGTTCTATAATTATTTTTAACTCCACAGTTCTCACTGTTTTTCCCCCGAGTAGAAACATAATCAGAATTCCTTTATTCGTCCCACAACGGGGACATTTACGTTGTTACAGGCAAATAAAATATAACACTATTAGGCCTATATAAAAAGGCATGCACAATGATAGTATTTGAAATACAATTTATTACAAAATTACACATTCAGGTAGTCATACCGTAGCAGCAGTATAACATAAGACGTTTAGCAATGTAGACTAAAGTGTGCTATAACATTAGTTAAATTATCATTGTTACTTAAAGACTCCTGTTACAGTAGCCTAATGGTTGGACTAAATAGGAGTATAACACATACATTTTATTTACATATTAATCAAGTTGTCAAGAGTAAAAACCTAAACTCCTTAATATCATCCACATCAAAGTTAAGTAGCCAGTTGAAGTACATTTTTGAGGGGTAGCCTTTCGAAAATGACTCTTAGTTTACACAATCATTTGAAATATGTGTCAACATGATCAGTTTGAGTCCTGCTTTACCCTGGATTATATAGTTATGATTTATAAATATATCATTAATACATCCCCCTTTCCTTAATGTAACCCTAAGATCCAGAGGTGACATTTTTGGAACAACTGTGGGTCCCCTATGATTTGGACCTAGTTGTATTGCATTGCATCATTTGGATTTATCAATCTGTATATTAAACAGTGGGATTTTCAGCAACTATGTGATTCTTGGTTGGCTCACAGCTGTTGTGACATCTGGAAAATATCAGGGGAAAACTGCAAGGGCAGCGTCTGGGCTGCAGGGTTCACATAAATAGCTCTGCATGATAACCCAGTTGGACAAATACAGAATGGAACGAGCACTTGTCCTCCTCCTGGCTGTAACAACAGGTGAGCCCATTAAACGAAATCCTTCACTGGAATAGATATAAAATGTGAATGTGAAGTAATCCTTTTTCTTCCGTCTCTCCTTTTGTTAAAGTGTCTGGGTGTGGTGTGCCCAGCTACCAGCCGGACACCAGCCGTGTGGTGAATGGGGAAGAAGCCCGTCCATACAGCTGGCCATGGCAGGTTTCCTTGGAGTCTTTTTTCCCTACTTGTGGAGCAACACTCATTGCTCCTAACTGGGTTTTGACTGCTGCACATTGCATTACGTGAGGAGAACTTCATTTCAACTTAAATAGTTTCTGATGATGCATATACAGGTTCCAAGGTTCCAACAGAACTCAAGGAATGAAAATGTGACCCCTTTTGCCTGTGATTTAATTCACATTTCTTTTTTTACACTAATACGCAATATATTAAGTTTATTATTTTCCAATTCAGATTCCACACGTACAGGGTTGTTCTGGCTGAGCATGACATGAAGACAGAGGAAGGACCTGAACAGTCCATTATGGTGGCAAAAATGTTCATCCATCCCAAATGGAACAAGAACTGCGTGTCTTGTGGGTAGGTAATGATCCCAACATATTATTTTCCAGATCTGTGGTGGATTATTACACAAAGCATGTCCTTGAAAAAAGGTGCCTATCAGTACAGTATACCGTGTGAGTTCCTATTGAGCAGCAGCTGAGTAAATAGAAGTTTTATAAATGAAAAAAACTTCACCTGTAGAAAAAAAGCTCTCTGCACATTTAAATATACTTTGAGAGGTTAATAGAAAATGTACTGCTGATATGTTTAATTTTGCCTTTTTAATCATGTTTTGTAGGAATGACATTGCCCTGCTTAAGCTGGAGAAAAGTGCTGTTATCAATGACAAGGTCCAGCCGGCTTGCCTGCCACAGCATGGTGCTACTCTCGCCCACAACCAACCCTGCTACGTCACAGGCTGGGGTCGTCTCTACTGTAAGACCTGTCGCCAATTCTGCTTATCAAGATCATGTGGGGTGTAGGGCACGATGTGTAAATAAAAGTTAATAAAAGGAGATCCGGCACTCTGTAATACATTCATACATTGTGATGCTGATCAAAAGCAGTTTGCAGGATCTCCTTTCTCAAGTGACACCTTTTCATTCATTTGAGATAGTTGTATGTGGAAACATGTCCTTTAGAGGAGTGAAATGTATTAATGTTATTCAAATGCTATTATGTTATTTTCTCTTTAGCTGGTGGTCCTTCTGCTACTACACTACAGCAGGCCCTACTTCCTGTTGTGGATCATGAAATCTGTAGTCAAGGTGACTGGTGGGGCAGCTCAGCAAAGACAACCATGGTCTGTGCAGGAGGAGAGAGCAAGTCAGCATGCCATGTGAGGAAGAACCACTAAGTCATGCTTTGAATGCAACACAGTTAGCTTTTTATTCGCTCTAATATCTGCCATTACCTCCCAGGGTGACTCTGGAGGCCCTTTGAACTGCAAGGGCAGAGATGGTAAGTGGTATGTGCAAGGAGTGACAAGTTTTGTGGATGGACGGGGCTGTAATACCCCTCAGAAGCCCACCATTTTCACCCGTGTGGCCTCTTTCATCCCCTGGATCAGTGAGGTGAGGAAGACCAAATAAATGGCATTAAGCAGCCATGTAATACAAATATTAAATTTGTGTAATTTACTAACCTAATCTTGTGTTTCTCCCTTTAGACCATGGCCCAAAACTGAAGACATGTTCAATGACTGAAGAAGTGAACGGGCAATAAACTATCATTTGACATTTTAATATTAGATTTGTCTTTTATTTTATCAAAAATATATAAAGATTATGAACAAATATATTCATGACAAAGAAACATACATTAACATCAGATTAAACAATGTTTGACAACGCCACATAGACAGGATGAAAATAAACAAACACATATTGACCAAAGCAAACATTTGATTATGGGAAAACAAAGATTGTGTATGTTTTTTCTATTTATTTGAACATACTAAAAGGACTTTAATCCAATAAGTAAATGAATTCAAAGTAAATGGTTAGGGTTTCCTTGATAAAGAACATAACATAACAGAATGAAGTTAAATCTGACAGAAATGTAAATACAACATGATGATTGATGGTTTATTCTTCTTATAATCAACTAATGAAATACCTTATCTTGAATTAGAATTCAAATGATTTCCCGACAAGTGATTATTTGATGGGAATGTTTTCATTCAGCAGACTTTGGTTTAACACCACACTGTAGCAGCAGAGCCTCACAGGTCGGAAGGCGTCCAGGTGAAGAAGTTGATTCCCTGCAGCTCGTCAGGTAAGTACTTCTGCTCCACAGGGCCGCTGAAGGATGGGTTGTATTTGTAGCCTTTAGCGTAGCCCAGTTGTTTCATCAGTCTGGTTGGGGCGTTGCGAAGATGCAGGGGGACAGAAGGCAGGGGCCCTTTGTGGTTCCTCAAACAAGCTTTCACATTAGCATAGGCCTTGTAGACATCAACAGACTTGGGTGCTCGTGCCAGATAGATTACACACTGAGCCATGATCACCTGTTGAGCAGCAACAGAGGTAAAGACTGACTGAACATTTGATTGATATGACTCAGGACCATCACTGATTGGTCAGGAAAGCCTACCTCACATTCAGGCATCCCGATAAAGTGACAAGCTTGAAAGGCTGACACGGCCTGAGGAAGAGCGGCGGAGTCTGCCATACCTGAGGAAGATATGGGACAATTTCTCTGTAAGCACTTAGTTCAGATGATTTTTCCTTTACTGTAATCAAATAAAATAACACATTTTGTCTTTGTTGCCCTACTTCTCCTATTTTATGATCAAAAGGTCAGGACTGAAAGAGTTATGTACATTAATAACTAAGCTTTTACAAGTAAAAAAAGCATTTAAATATTCAAAACAATATTGTGATCTTACTGTTAATCAGAAAAGGTTTAAATTAGTACAATAAAAGCAAGACATATAACTTTAAAAAAATAGATTACGCATAATAAAAAACTAAAAAGAACAACACACAATCTAAATTAGTTGATAAAACAAAAGCGAGAATAAAAATAATCTTTTTTTTTTAAAAGAAGCAAGCGACTAAGAGGCTGGGATTTTGGGAACAGTCGTCATTGTAGCTACGATCTAATGTCTAATTGAGTGCAAGATACAGTCCTGCAAAGTTACAACCTGATTAACAGGTTTCATTTTGAGAAGTTGGGCAGCTGCTTGTTTAATTTTCTGGACGGGGTAAATGATCAAAAATCACTAAATTCAGAGATGATCAAAAGGATAATTTTCATTAGGTCTTACTTACCCACGTCCTCGCTGGCAAAGCGGACCAGTCTCCGGGCCACGTAGAGAGGATCCTCTCCGCCCTCCAGCATGCGGCCCAGCCAGTACAGAGCTGCATTCTCATCGGAGCCTCTCATAGACTTATGTAACGCTGAGATGCAGTTGTAATGCTCCTCACCTTTGTGTAACACACATAAATAAATGCATCAAGATATGTGAAGTCACATCAAACATTTACAAAACTTCCTAAAAGGTCTGAAGAGAAGAAACAACCAAAGGAACAAAAGATTAAAGACTGATCAAACTATTTAAAGACAAAAAAACAGGAAGAATACTTTCTCCTTGAAGGTCACTAGTCATGCTGACGGACATTTTCATCACCCTTTGAAGCACGGGACAGTAAATCTCGATCTTTTGGGACAGCTGAAGGGTTATGCAACAGGAGGGAGTGGATGGTCAGAGGATCATAGAGTGGGTGGGTGGGACCAGGGTGGAAGTGTGTAAATGATTGGAGAGGCTGAAAATACAGTCTACTATAATTGGAGACATTTTATATATCACTTTGTATGAACGCTGGGTGTTACTTAAATGGGTGTACTTAGTAAAATGTGGCACCAAGCAACCGTAAGTACAGCTGTAGACCCAAGTGATAAGCATGGTTGAGCTTTCTTCTCATCCATTATCATTCAGTGATTTGATATGAAAAACCCGTGACAGGACGCATTTTGGAAAGCAACATGATGGGGCTGTTAAGCTTAAAACCTCAGATTATTTAGATCAGGGGTCACCAACCTTTTTTAGGACGAGGGCTACTTTCAAAAAATAAAACAAGTCGGGGGCTACTTTTACTCCTCTTTTTTTTGTTTTTTACAGTGTATATATTTAGCACATTTGAACATTATTGTATGCTTACCTTTAACCTTTGTGTGCTTTTTGGGTCTGTGGAACCCGTTTTCAGTTTTTACTAAAATAACATGTATGCAATTTAATTATTTTAACCTGCTTTATTTTGGGGGGGGGACCTCACATCCTCCAGGGGAATTTTTTTTTAAATGTTGAAGTGAAATGCATCAATCTGGAGCACAAAATGAATTGATGGATACAGCTCTCAACACTCATATGAAAGGGAGTTGTATACTTTTCAATAATCCAAACATCTTTAGGATATGATCACAACCAATAACAAATCATTTCAACTTGTTTATTCTTATCTTATGTTACTTAGTTAGCATTCTATCTTTTCATTTATGCATATTTGGCTAATCACTCCCCTTTTAAACTGTTTTTTTTAAGGAAATTACGCCATGTGTATGTGTGCGTCAAGTGCAATAAATATATATGCAAGTTGCAACACACACACAGTAAAACTCTGCCCCTCATGTGTGGTATCGGCTGGCATGATAGGCTGTTCAATGGGGCTGATGTGTAGATTCTGCCAGAAGGAAAATCAGCGGGGAGGTGCCACATTGCTTTTCTTCCCGACTGCAACGCTGGTCCCGCAAATCAAGCAAGAACGTGATTGGTCGATATTCATTGTGGGGGTGGGGGGAGGAGGGGTGTTAGATAGATATAGAGTTGTAGTAAGTAGATAGGGTTCGCTATGATTGAGGTTTCGTTTATGCATAGGGTAGGTTCTTTTAATTACATTTCCTTTTTTGTTTTGTGTATTTTATACATTTTGGATTTGCTTGGCGAGCTATTTTTAGAACATGCCCGGCGGGCGACTCACGTCGCCCCTGCGGGCGACTAATTGCCCGCGGGCACCGTGTTGGCTACCCCTGATTTAGATGTTATGTAAAGTAAAGATATTGATGGCAGGTGGTATACTGAAACTGATGGGAGGATTTAAATATGTGGATTTGTGAAATATGTAGCAATGTGTTAATGGTGTTAATGTGCCTAAGTGCTTTTGTTGACTATGTGACATCCCGCCCCCTTGTATAATCCTGAAAAACGCTTTGTCCCAGCTGCCTATTACATAATGAATCCTCTTTAAATGCGCAGTGTCAGGGTTTCAAAATTAGACGAATGTCCTCTAATCAGAAGGACATTTTCCAAATCACAGATGTTGTACAATTTTTTATTTTGGTCAGGTGTAATCTAAACATTTAAAAAAAAAATGAAAAAAACTATACGTTGAACATTTCAGAATGTCCTTAATTGTTTAAAAAATAACAACCCTTTTTTAAATAACCACCGTAGCCAAAAAAGCCATTTTTACTATTTTACTATTTATTTGGTGAATCTAATGGGCCCTTAGTTTGCACATGGCATTTCTCAGAGTAATTAAGAACATATAAGCTTACCAGCTCTATCATAGAGAATATGGGACCTCTGAAGACCCTCCTTGATGTGGTCCTCCTTCACCAGTATTTCCTGAGAGCCGCCCTGCCCTGAGGGGTCGGGCCGGGCCGAGCTCAGCTGAGCCTGAACAGCCAGCTGCAGACTGTTGAGTCCTGCTCTCGCGTCTCCATCACAGAGGTAGGCGACTGTGTCCAGTGCCTTCTGTTCAATGAAGATCTTTGGCCTGGGAAAACAATAATATATATCAGATATAGTGCAACAGTTGCAATACTTAAAAATATATTCCATTTTGTAAGGAAGAAATAAATGAGAAATGACATTTCCTAATTAAATATTGATAACATCAATAATAAAAAAAAGGTTAAGAGACTTACTAATTTAAATCGACTCAATGCATATGTATAGATCTGTTTGTAACTAGATACCACAAAGAATGTCGGACATTTACAACGTCCTTCCCAAAAAAGTATTTTCATCTGTGCCCTGTAGAGGGCGCCACAAAATTCAAACTATGCTCAGCCGTGTTCAAGTATACACAAAAAGCATCATCAATATCCCTAGTGCCTCCCTTAATGCTAGCACTATAAAAGGTCTCATAACTGCGCAATGATACGTTTATAACACACTGTTAATGTGTAGGTAAATAACACCTGAACGATAAAGTATTAGTCTTTCCAGAAATCAGAGGTATAAAATAATAACATTATCAAGAAATATAACAACCTTTGAATTATAAAAAAAACGTAGATGACAGTTTCTCTATTGGTTTATAAAGAGTGTTTCTGCCATTTACCTAATTGATAAATTGGGTGATTCAAATAAAAGCTGTTCATATATTGCATTACAATTTAAAAGCAAAAACTCAAACGGCAGCCTTAAAAATTATCTATAGGTTGAATTTTGTAATTGTATTATAAGCTGTTTATTATGAGCTACAATGGCAATTTATCCAAGATAAAAGTGAGCCACTCCCGTTGTTTATCTGAATGAATCCAGTGAGCCAGGAACAGAGGACAACAACAGGCTCAACCATCAAATATTTTGAGTTGTCTGCTGACATCCCATCATGATGTGTGTCACTCACTAAGTGTTTGGTTACCAAGGGCGCACTTACTCATCTGATTGGTGTTGCTCTTTGGGAATTGACTGATCTTGTCCCAGGACTTTAATCCCCAGTGTGGCCACAGCCCGGTCCAGGATGGAGCCCATTGCCTCCACAGAGAGTTTCTCCAGAACCAGCACCCTGCACCGGCTCAGCAGCGCAGCGTTTACCTGGAAGGACGGGTTCTCTGTGGTGGCCCCAATCAGAGTCAACGTCCCGCACTCCACGTGAGGAAGGAAGGTGTCCTACAGATACACACACAAATTAACCATGGGAGGAAAAAAAAGGGACAACAATGACTATTTCTAAAACAACAAGATATCTACAGTAGGTATTTGTTAAAGGTCCCATGTCATGCTTTTCTGGTTATTACCCGTCCCCTTGTGTGTTATGAAGGTCTTTATGCATGTAAACAGTCTGCAGAGTCACAAACCCTCAAAGTACACCCTGTAGCGAGTAAAACTCTAACACAGAAAAGACCTGTCTACGCTGCCCCAGAACGCCTCATTGGAGATTTCTCATTTTCCATTGTTGGCTTCCTGGGTTCTGT